GACTTGCCGGTCTCTCGGTCTTTCATCAGGAGCACCTCGGCGATGTGGCCGTACTTGCCAAACGCGGCCTCGAGGGCCTTCTCGTCGGTTTCGAGGTTGAGCCCCCCGATGAAGAGCTTCCCCGGACGATCCGCTTCCACCATGTCTGCGGGTAGCTGGGTCGGTTAAGGCAGGGCGGAGGCGAAGCGGCGGCGCACGTCGTGGCCGTCGAGCCCGCTCGCTGCCGAGGGCGGCTTCTACCGGTTGGGCGGCGCGCCGTGGCCCAACCCCGCGGGCACGCCCTTCTGCGCAGGCGGAACGCTCCGGTTTGCGCCTCCTGGGACCGGTTCCCGGCGGCTGGGCGGGCTCCTACCGCTCTGATTGGTTGGCTGTACTGGGAGGGGCCGTCCAGTCTTCCGGAGGGTTGCTCGCGGTGTGAGTCCTTCCCAGCCTTTGAACCTCCGGTGGCCTGGAGCAGTGGCTCACGGGTATAATCCCAGCACTTCCGGCGGCCGAGGTGCGAGGATTGCCTCAGCTCGCGCACTCGACACGCGCCTGGGCAATTTGGCGAGACCTCGTCTCTACAATAAGTCAAAAAATTAAAAAATTAGCCGGGCGTGGTGGCTGGCGCCTGCCTGTAGTTCCAGCTACTTGGAAGACAGGTGGAAGGATGGCCTGAGCCCAGCAAGTCGAGGCTGCGGTGGCCGTGGGTGTGCCAGTGCACTGCAACCTGGGCGACAGAGTGGGGCTCCGACTCAAAAAAAACCACAAAATACCTCCCATAAACCTGACCTTAGCTTAACATCTTCAATTCACTCCTAAAAAAGCTCTGCCACTAAACGAAAAGCCGTTAGGTGAAAAAAAATTTTTTCGTTACTCATAATGAGAAGAATCATAATGCATTCCAGTCCAAATTGCCCAGACCTTTTTCAAACAGAAAAAATTAGTGTTTGAAAATGAAATAAGTAATAACAGTTTAAACAATTAAAATCCAGCCAGTTTAATACAAGATCTTTATGCACTTGCCAAAGGGGAAAGTCCTGCCAGTGGAGGCAGGGTGGTAGAGTTGGAAGGGGAGAGATTCGTTCTTTGGATGCATCTTTTTTTTTCTTCTGCATCTTTTTCTTTGAATTTTCAATTTTCAAAAGTTCATAGTTATAGTGTATTCAAACCACCCATTAAAATAAAGGTATAGGACAAAAAGTCACCTTTAGGTACAAGAGAACATTTGGACATTCCTCGAAGTAGCACCTGAGGGTGCCTAACAAACAACTCTTCACAGCTTCACCCCAGTGTGCTTTGTGGGAAAGAGGAAGCACACCTCAGCAAAGTATTCAGATTTTTGTATTTATTCAAGCAAATTACACAATTCAAATTTGTGCTTTACGATATTCACCGAATGAAAGTGTGAAAAATAAATTGATAAGTTTCTCTTTGCTTGCAATATCTAAAACCACTTTTTCTTTACTATATTGATTTAATGTGGCTTGGGGCTGTTTGCTCAAAAGTGATATAAATTTTTTAAAGGTCATTATGGTGAAAAGTGAAAGTGATATAAAATTTTTAAAGGTCATTATGGTGAAAAGTGAATGTAGTGAGAAGAGTATATGTGTGTATATATGTTTACATGTGTATTATATGTGGAAGAGTTAGTGAAAGTAAAAGCATTTCAATAATGTTTTGATATTAATTGTGACACTTAAGAATTTTTTTTTTTTTTTTTTTAGAGTCAAGGTCTCACTCTGTTGCCCAGTCTGGTGTGTAGTGGCATGTTCATGGCTCACCACAGCCCCAAACCCCTGGGCTCAGTAATCCTTCCACTTCAGCCTCCCTAGTAGCTGGTACTACAGGTGCTAGCCTTGCTACTTTTTTTTTTGTAGAGGTCTTCCTATGTTGCCCATGCTGTGTTCAAACTCCTGAGATCAAGCAATCCTCCTAAGTGTTGGGATTACAGGTGTAAGCCACTGTTGCTGGCCAGGTTTAGGATTTTTTAGCATGCGTGAATGGAAGTTAGAATTAAATACATCATATCAGTTCATGTGATGATTACAGAAACATTATCTTTATTAGTAAAACATTCTTGTATTCCTAATGTAAGCCCACCTTTTGGGATGTATTCATTTTCTAAAAAAGGATGAATTTTGTTCACGCATGCTTTATTTAGAAATTTTGCATTTTTGTGCATAAGGGGTATTGGCCTATATATTTCTTTCCCATACTGAGCTGAGAAGATTTTGTCTAAACAACCATCTGAGCTGGTGTTTTGAGTATATTTTAACTACCTAGTGATTACTTTTCTTTTAGTTTTGAATCTATCCAGATTTTTAAGCATTTCTCCTTAACTTGGTTTTTGTAACATACTTTTCTAAGTAGTTATCTATTTTGCTTAAATTTTCAAATGTATTTTATCTATGGCTGTGCCTTGATTTGTTTTCTCTCTTTTTATGACCAGTCTTGCTAGGACTTTGTTTTTTGTTTCTTTTACTACTGGTTTTGAAAAATAATCAGTTTTTAGCTTTGCTGACCCTTCATTTTGATTGCATTTGCTGCTATTGTCTTTATTTTCTTCTTTCCATATTCTTTGGATTTGCAGTTTGTACTATTCTAGTTTTTTTGGTTCTAATTTTTCTTAGCACATTGTTTTTCTTCTAATCATTTTATCTAAGATTAAAACTTACTCTCCTTGTAATGGTTAACAGTATGTCCTGGGCTGTGACAATACCAGTGTATACTCCACATGAAGCAGCTTGCACAAGGACTGGCTACATGATTATCAGGATAGTTACCCATTGAATATGCTCCTTATTGGTGGTGGTACATTGCTGTCTTCTCTTCCTCTCAGGGGTTTTACAGATACTAATAAAACACATTAAGTTAATTAACAATAAAATGGTAAAGGCAGAGGGGACAGTAAAGGGACCCATTCCATCAAGATGGAAGTTTTTAGATGGTTAAGAAATTGGATGAATAAAATGAACACTGAGGGTTGAAACAAAGGTCTTAATATAGCACTACTTTACGTTGGGTGAACCAATGGACCCCTTCCTTGGTCCCCCACCTCCATTCAAGGGACCCAAACATGTCTCATCTATTTACCCCAGTTTGGAGGAATTTTAAGCGCTAAGGTGGAGATTGCAATGAGATAAATCACTGAGGGATAGCAGAATAATCAAGATAAAGAATGACAAAAAGGTCAGAGGCCCTTGGCCATCCCTCTCTCCGGAGACTCAGAATCTTATCCACAGGAGTAAAATGATCAGGGGATGGAGAAGAGAAGTTTCTGAGACTCTTAGAAGTGGAGCTATGTGCACTGTGGTACCAAAACCTTTGGGTGAAGCCCTGATAGCTATACTTCAATTGAGAGAATATGGAATGTAAGGGTTAAGGTGAAAGATTGGAAAAAATTTGAATGTTTAAAAAGTCTATGAGAAGAGGTTGTGTCTCCTTTATCTTAATGTTTTATGTCTAACTAGGGAACAGTTCCCCTACCTAATATTATAAAACTAAAATGATCTGGTAAAGACCTAACATGGCTACAGTTAAATTGAAAGAATATAGAAAAGCAAGAAGGGTTGATAGGATTAATATAAACGTTTGGTAAAAATTGGAAAGTTTACACAGGCTTTTTGTGAAGTAATATTGTCTCTTTTACCTGAACGTGATATGGGGATGGATACGGTATCTGATTGGGGAATGTTGCCTAGTGTTGTAGCCTGACTGGGTTCTTATGTTGGCTGCCCAGAAATACTAATATGCTGACAGCAGTCGTTGCAATAGAGAAAGAGTTTAATATTGCAAAGCAGTTAATTGAGAACAGGAAATAATTCTCAAATCCACCTCTCCGAGAGCCTTAGCCTCGGGTTTTTAAAGAAATAATATGAGGGGCAGGAGGCTGAGGAATGGGAACTGCTGATTGGTTAGGGATGAAGTCATGGGGTGTCAAAACCGTCTTCATAGCAGAGTCATTTTCTGGGAGATTACAGAGTGAGTGGAATCAGCTCCTCAACATCTGTACCAGGTCTGGGGGGTAGAGGGATTCAGATTCATAAGAATACAAAGTCTGAAAAACATCTCACACACCATTTTTAGGTTTTATAATAGATGCAATCTATAAAGCTACCATTGGCTACTGACTCCTGGGCAGTAAGCTATTATAGAGGTGGTTTTAGGAGGGAAGTATGTAGGAGGTGAGGTCCCTGGAGATTACAGCTGCTTCTGCTCTTCCAACAATCAGGCATCAAGGAGAACTGTGCACTGTAGGTTCATGGTTTAAGGGAAAATATGTTTATCACCCTCATAGGCAGCTGCTCCCCTCCTGTTAGGACATGAAGATAATAAATTGCTCTCTATTGAAGTAGCTGTGTAAACAATTATGGAGGGAAGCAAACTTAGAAACAACAGATTTGTTAATTTCTAACCATAGTTGCAGCTTTGCAGAGCTCAAATCTCTTTTATAGATTTTTACCTCTTGACCCTATCTATGTTAATTTTATAAAGGTGGATTCACTAGTATTGTAAAACACAAGGCATACAAATTCCTTCAGGCAATATTAACTGGATATGCTAAATGGGAATGAATAACATTGCCCACACAGTGTAGAATAAAACCTGGAGGACTAGGATGGACAAATTCTCTATACAGTAGATCTGTGTGGATAGTAGACTGGAGCTTAGAGCAAAAGCCTGGAGGGCCCCCTGTGATCACTCCTGGGACTTGGACTAGAGAATTTCCATTTGAGGTAATCACCAACTTACTCTCAGACATTAATTGAAACTACCCCATGATTTAAGGGCATAAAATAATCTTATCATCTCACACCCATTATGATGGTAATTATCAAGAAACAACATACCAAGTGTTGGTGAGGATGTGGAGAAATTGGAACCTTTATGCACTGCTGGTGGGATTGTAAAATTGGTGCAGCCACAGTATGGAAGTTCTTCAAAAAATTAGGAATAGGATCCAACAATCCCATTTCCGCTATATAACCAAAAGAATTGGAGGCAAGACCTCAGCTATTTGTATACCCACATTCATAACAGCATTATTTATAATAGCCAAGAAGTAGAAGAAACTCAAGTGTCCATTGACAGATGAATGAATTTAAAAAGTAGCACAGTTGGCCCTCTGCATCTATGGGTTCCACATTCATGCATTCAACCA